CCTAAGATCAGGAACAAAACAAGGGTATCCTCTTTTCCCACTATTATTCAACATAGTTCTGGAAGTCCTAGCTACTGCAGTCAAAGAAAAAGAAATAAAAGGAATCCAGATTGGAAAAGAAGAAGTAAAGTTCTCACTGTTTGCAGATGACATGATACAGATGACATGATACTGTACATAGGAAACCCTAAAGGTAGTATCAGAAAATTACTCAAGCTAATCAGTGAATTTAGCAAAGTTGCAGGATACAAAATCAATACACAGAAGTCACTTGCATTACTATATGCTAACAATGAAAAATCAGAAAGAGAAATTATGGAATCAATCCCATTCACCATTGCAACAAAAAGAATTAAATATCTAGGAATAAACTTATCTAAGGAGACAAAAAACTGTACACAGAAAATTAAAAGACACTGATGAAAGAAATCAAAGACATAAACAGATGGAGAGATATTCCATGTTGCTGGGTAGGAAGAATCAATATTGTGAAAATGACTATAAAACCAAAAGCAATCTACAGATTTAATGCAACCCCTATCAAATTACCAATGGCATTTTTTCACAGAACTAGAACAAAAAATTTCACAATTCATGTAGAAACACAAAAGACCCAAATAGCCAAAGCAGTCTTGAGAAAGAAGAATGGAGCTGGAGGAATTAACCTTCTTGACTTCAGATAATACTACAAAGCTACCGTCATCTAAACAGTATGGTACTGGCACAAAAACAGAAATATAGAGCAATAGAACAAGACAGAAAGCCCAGAGATAAACCCATGCACCTACATGTACCTTATTTTTGACAAAGGAGGCAAGAACATACAATGGGGCAAAGACAGCCTCTTGAATAAATGGTGCTGGGAAAACTGGACAGCTATATGTAAAAGAATGAAATTAGAATAATTCCTAACACCATACACAAAGATAAACTCAAAATGGATTAAAGACCTAAATGCAAGACCAGAAACTATAAAACTCTTAGAGGAAAACATAGGCAGAACACTCAACAAAATAAATCAAATAAGATACTCTATGACCCACCTCCTAGACTAATGGAAATAAAAACAAAAGTAAGCAAGTGGGACCTGATTAAACTTAAAAGCTTTTGCACAGCAAAGGAAACCATAAACAAGGTGAAAAGACAATGCTCAGAACAGGAGAAAAGAATAGCAAATGAAACAACTGACAAGGGATTAATTTCCAAAATATGGAAGCAGCTCATACAACTCAATACCAGAAAAACAAACAACCCAATCAAAAAGTGGGGAAAAAACCTAAGACATTTATCCAAAGAAGACATACAGATGGCTAACAAGCACATGAAAAGATGCTCAACATCCCTCATTATTAGAGAAATGCAAATCAAAACTACAATGAGATATCACCTCACACTGGTCAGAATGACCCTCATCAAATATTCTACAAACAATAGATGCTGGAGAGGGTGTGAAGAAAAGGGAATGCTTTTGCACAATTGGTGGGAATGTAAATTGGTGCAGTCACTATGGAAGACAGTATAAAGATTCCTTTAAAAACTAGGAATAAAACCACCATATGACCCAGGAATCCCGGTCCTAGGCATAAACGCTGAGGAAACCAAAATTGAAAGAGACTCATATATCCCAATATTCATTGCAGCACTATTTACAATAGCTAGAACACGGAAGCAACCTAGATGTCCATTGACAGATGAATGAATAAAGAAATTGTGGTACATATACACAATGGAATATTGCTCAGCCATAAAACGGAATACATCTGAGTCAGTTCTAATGAGTTGGTTGAACCTAGAACCTATTATACAGAGTAAAGTGAGTCAGAAAGAGAAAGATAAATACCGTATTCTAATGCATATATATGGAATCTTAAAAAATGGTACTGAAGAATTTATTTACAGGGCAGCAATGGAGAAACAGACATAGGGAATAGACCTATGGACATGGGGAGATGGGAGGAGAGGGTGAGATGTATGGAAAGAGTAACATGGAAACTTACATTACCATATGTAAAATAGATAGCCAATGGGAATTTCCTGTATGTCTCAGGAAACTCAAACAGGGGCTTCTGTATCCACCTAGAGGGGTGGGATTGGGTGGGAGATGGGAGAGAGTTTCAAAAGGGAGGGAATATATGTATTCATATGGCTGATTCATGTTGAGGTTTGACAGAAAATAACAAAACTCTGTAAAGCAATTATCCTTTAATAAAAAATAAATTAATTAATAAAGAAAAAGAAAGAATAGGAGGAAATGAATTCAGGATATTTAGGGTCATGACATGCTGAAAGGCAGACTTGCCTGGTGGCTAAGTGGTAAAGAATCTGCCTGCAATGCAGGAGACTTGGGTTTGATCCCTGGGTCAGGAAGATCCCCTGGAAGAGGGCATAGCAACCCACTCTAGCGTTCTTGCCTAGAGAATCTCACGGTCAGAGGATCCTGGCAGGCTGCAGTCCACAGGGTCGCAAAGAGTCAGACATGAGTGAAACGACTAAGCAGCAGCGGCAGCATGTTGGAAGGCAGCAGTGTGGTTGTTGAAAACCTGAAAATTGGCTGTGTGATTAGACCCCAGCCCTACCCTTTATTCCCCTGTCTGCTGACAAATTGTCTTGCCTCTCTGTGCCTCAGCTTTCTTACCTTTAAAATGCTAGTGGCGGAGTTCCCTGGTGGTCCAGTGGTTAAGAATCCACCTTCCAGGGCGGGAGACACAGTTTGAACCCTACTGGAGGAACTAAGATCCCACATGCTGCAGGACAGCTGAGCCCACGAGCTGCAACTAGAAAGAAGCCCCCACACCACAACACGAGATCCCGCATGCCACAACTGAGACCCCAGGCAGCCAAATAAATACATGCTTTAAAAATAAGTAAATAAAATGGTACTTTAAAAATAAATAAATAAAAGTGACAGTAATAGCTACCCACAGAATACAGTAATGATGAAGATTGAGATGATACATGTAATCCTCTTAGAAAAATGCTCAGCCCATATTAAGCACAATTAATTATTATTATATCACAGAACTTGGTAATTTTCCGAAAGCAGAGAGTCAGAGAGAGGGAAGAGACAACGATGACTTCTAGGCTTCAAGCCTGGACAATGGTAGCCCCATTCATTATCAAGGAGAATACAGAAGATAAGATCATAAAAAGTGTCCCCAATTACGGATTCATTTTGAACATTTTATGATGAAGCATCTTTGGACAGATGAGTAGAGCTTTCCCCTGGGAGTCAGGCGCTCTTGGGAGAGCAGTCAGGGCCAGAGCCAGATGCAGACACCTTTAGTGAGTGCTTGAAGCCAGGGATGTGAGTGAGATCTTGTTTGTGAGGCACGCAGGAGAGAAGGAAAGGGTGAGCACTGAGCCACAGGAGATCCTCACTTAGGGGCTGGACAGAGAGTGAAGGGCTGTGATGAGGGCCCAGGGGAGAACAGACGAGGGAATAGTGATACAGCACAGCACCGGGGCCTTGGGGAGCCTGTGATCGGGAACACAGATAAATGGTTAACCTCCATCCAAAGAACAACACGCGCCCCCCCCCCCCCCCGAGAAAGAAAACCCTGAGGATCTGTGTGGGAGCCGAAAAGTGAAGTGTGTAGACTGTCGCTGGTAAAGCTGAAGAGAGTTTCCATCTGGTGCTTCAGTTTTGTCTATAAAGTAAGAGCAAGGCCACCTGCGGCCACATACAGGAAGTCAGTGCAGAAGTGGAGTTTAGGGTCAGCTAATGATGGGAGGGTGTGTCCCTTCTCAAAGGGGAAAAACAACTCTCATCAAGGACTCAGCAGATACGCAATGAAAAGTATGAACTATAGTATTGCAAGAAAAAATTTTTTGGCCAGAGATTTTTCTCAGCAATTTTTCCAGTGTTCTGAATGTAGAAACAAGAGCCAGGATGGGGAATTTGAGGTAAGATGTGGCATGCAAAATTTATTACATGGCTACTTTTATCATAAAACAAAGTATAAAATAACTAAATTGAGTCCTTTTCAAGATTTACCTGGGACTGGAGCATTGGCTTAGGATACAAAATACCTGTATTCAGCTTCACATCCCTATTGTCTATTGAAAGGATTTTAATCCTTTAATAAAATCACTCATAACATACAATGGAAAGTATTTCCTAGAATTTTTTAAAACTAATGAGAAGGAAGCTTGAATATGCTGATTAACATGTAAGCAAGTTATTGGAAAAGGAACGATTATTGTTTTAATATCCTCTCAGTTACTCTAAAAGATTCCAAAACTGATTGTATAACACGCTATATAAAGTAAGGCTTAGTCATGGAACCATCAGTCTCATACCTGGGTTTTCATGCTTACTATAAATGTCTGAAGGATTTCTTATCCTCCAGCTGAATGGCTTAAAACTCCCATAAAGCTCACTACACAGAATAAAAAACACATCTTAGATATAATTATTTCAAGTCGTTTATACAGATAAATGCATTTCTGTTCACTTTCAGCATTCAGTAGTTTGTTGTAAATTGGAGTATTATAACTAGGAAATCATTTCAGGGATCATATTAAAGACACAACTTATTAAATACTTTAAACAGCATCCACAAAACAACATTAGGGCATAAGAGTGAGAGTAGAGGTCTCTAATCAAAGAATCATTACTTCACCTCTTTTCAAGGATTTGGTTGTATATACAAAAAAAAGTTTAAAAAATGGGTATACAAAAAATTATGTTAAAGAAATGGGTCACTTCAATGATTTGTTGAAGTACAATGAATCAAACTGAGGCCAAAAACAAAAAAAGGAGACTGAAGATTAGTCATAGCAAGTGAATAAATGCAAGTAAGAGGTGCATTTTATAAGCAAACTTATAAGGCAACTTCTGCAAAATAAACTCTCAACAATGAATATGGAGAAGGCAATGGCAACCCACTCCAGTTCTCTTGCCTGGAAAGTCCCATGAATGGAGGGGCCTGGTAGATTGAGGTCCGTGGAGTCCCTAGGAGTCCGACGCGACTGAGCGGCTTCACTTTCACTTTTCACTTTCATGCATTGGAGGAGGAAATGGCAACCCACTCCAGTGTTCTTGCCTGGAGAATCCCAGGGACGGGGGAGCCCGGTGGGCTGCCGTCTATGGGGTCGTACAGAGTCGGACACGACTGAAGCGACTTAGCAACAGTGAATATTATGAAGAGCAGCCCCTGGGCACCAGTTTCAGACCCACATCTATCAGGTCTGGAAGCCGCAGAGGGCTCTCCACCAGGGAGAACCCCAAAACTGGAGCACCCCTTTAGGTCCCTTCTCTTCATTTCCTCCCTTCTTTGACTCTTTATCTGACAATAAGTCAGGTCAAATGAAAAACAGTGAAGGTTCACGTGGGTGAGTTCATAATAAGACAGCAGAGGTGTTCTGTGTCTAGAAGAAGAAACAGAGGTCCTGAGAGCAGACTGAGAAGATAATAAATCAGCTAGGAGTGGCGGGGGAAGACCCTTTCTCCTCAGCAACATGGTGTTTGCCTGTGTGGCGTGTGATGACTTCTGGAAGGCTTCTGGCTGGGACCATCTGCGTTAGATGTGGGTATAAACAATTTTCAGAATCATGTTCTAAGTGGCTATCATATCACAAAACACCAGTGGCTCTTTAATAACTCATCACATATGCATCAGCCCTACTCATTATATAGAGAGAAACTCCCTCTGATTTGACTACAGTGGAATATGAAACATGTCTTTTTTATTCTATGAAAACCCATTTTTCTTTACTAGATTTTCTTACTAAAGGGAAATCAACACTTGTTTTTCTGAAACCTATACAACTGATCCTTTGTCAGTTCCTTATTGCTATTATTTGAATTTACAAAAGTTGCAATGCGAAGACAATTTAGGTTACAATGATATTTGGAGATGAGAGTGCTGACAATTCTTGGATATGTTTGAAAACCGGCAAATGTGTGGCTCTCAGCTACTTTCGCTACCTTATTTGATGCCTGCTCAACTAAATTGGGTGCTCCCGTTCTATTATTCCCAACTTCTATTATACAAACCATTAAATCAATTATTTATCCGCTATTGTTCTAAGTTCTTGGATTTTTTTTTTTAACATCACAATTCTCTAGTTTCCAGTATGTTATTTCCTGTTATGAAAGTATTCAAAGTAGTTTGTTTTTTATTGTTGTTTTTCAAAGACAGGGAGGCGGGCCAGTGGTACGCGGGGATGTTTCGCAACGCTGCTTCCTTCCTACACACACACACACTCACAGGCCCTAGGTAAAGAGTTGCCAAATCATCTGAAGTCTTCAAATCACCCTTTCTGGCTCTTCCTTCCTCCTTGGGAAGCACGTCCTGCCCTTGAATTGCACTGCGTCCTGAGTTCTCCCTCTTTCCGTACAGAGAGCCCGGCCCGGGTCACAACTCCCCAACTCCGGGGTGACAGTGGGCAGCTTCTCCCAGAACACATGCGCTGTCCAGCAAAGCTAAGGGAAGAGGCGGGCTGGCCCCTCCGCTGGCAGCCTCGGTCTTTCTGGGGCACCAGGCTTTCTCCTTCCTGCAAGTTACATCCTGTCTGTAGCCAGACTGGCCCAACAACAAGGCCGTATCTGTTAAAGGCAAACTTGCCCCAATACGTGTTGGAGCAGAGGGGTGTGGGGGAGGGGAGAGATACAATAGGAAAGCGAATCTTCGAAGAGTTAAAACCCAGCCTCTCAAAATTTCATAATACTCAGTCAAGTAAATCCTTTTTACTTTTTTTTACTGATATTTTGTTCTAGAAGATAGCAATATTAGCATATTCTAGAAAAGAAAAACTTGACTTTAATAAAACATCATTAAATCAGAGATGCATGATTAAATGTTATTGACAAAAACATTATTTTGGAGTTACCTCATATACTTAGGTTTAATGAAGTCTTAAGTATATAGAATTATTTCATACACACATTAAGAAAATATGAAATAGGTGACCGGGTGGAGTTGAAAAAGATGCTCTCAAATATTTTATATTGTCCATGCCTTATATAAATTGGGTTTTATGTGTTAGAGTGTTTGTTACCCTATTCAGGATACAGTGGCTCTTTTAATAGAAATAGAGTTGATTTACATTGTTGTATTAGTTTCAGGTATACAGCAAAGTGATTCAGTTATGAATATACATATATATTCTTTTTCAGCTTTTTTTCCTTTATAGGTTATTATAAACTATTGAGTATAGGTCCCTGTGCTATACAACAGGACCTTGTATAATACAGTGACTTTTACTAGGACTTGTGAAATGATTTTTTTCTAGCTTGTGGAATAATTTATTGTGGAACAGCTGAAAAGTTTCTCTAGTTTACTAATACTTCAAAGCATAATTTATTTTCTCAGGAAAAGAACTGGAAAGATTGGCCCCAAATTTAAAATGCCACTCTGGTAGTTTAGTATTCAAAAATGAGTAACTACATGGAGTTACCAGTGATGTTTTAAAATTCGTATTCTGGCTATATGTACAGGGTTGGTTTTTTTTTGGGGGGGGTGGGGGGTTTTTTTTGGTTTGTTTTTTTGGGAAGACCACGGTAAGATACCAAAGTGATCTAAGAGTCTTCATTCCAAAATGTTTCCCCAAATAATTTCTGAACCATATGGCATAAATTTGATACAGATAACTAAATTTGCTATCATGTTTCATTATTGTTCACAGTGAAACCAATGAGAGAACTAGGCTTTAGATACTAATTAATACATTAGAAATATGAACTTACATAGACTTTTAGAGATACCACCTTTAAGTACTCTTATTCTTAAAAAAATAAAATAAAAAACAAAGATCATAGATGAAGGGAAGAAACAGATTGACACTAGATGCCGGCCAGACACTGGGCTAGACACTTCACATACTGTCATTCAACAGTATGATTAGATACGAAATTTTTTAAGCTGTGGAAATTTTCTTTTTCTAAACCTGTATAGCTCTTTCTATTTTATTGAACTAATAGTCTATTTACAATGTTGTGTTAATTTCTGCTGTCAGTCAGTCAGTGAAGTTGCTCAGTCATGTCCAACTCTTTGTGATCCCATAACTGTAGCCTACCAGGCTCCTCCATCCATGGAATTTTCCAGGCAAGAGTACTAGAGTGGATTGCCATTTCCCTCTCCAGGGGATCTTCCTGACCCAGGGATCGAACCCAGGTCTCCGGCATTGCAGGCGGACGCTTTATCATCTGAGCTACCAGGGAAGCCCAATTTCTGCTGTACAGTGAAGTGATTCCATTACACACACACACACACACACACATTCTTTTTCATATTCTTTTTTATGGTTTTCCAGAGGATGTTGAATATAGTTCTCTGTGTTCTACAGTAGGACCTTGTTGTTTATCCATCCTATGTATAATAGTTTGCATCTGTTAATCCCAAATGATCAATCCATCTCTCCCCCATCCCCCCTGCTCTGGGCAACCACAAGTCTCTTCTCTATGTCTATGAGCCTGTTTCTGTTTGTAGTAAGTTCACTTGTGTCACAGTTTAGCTTCACCATGTAGGCGATATTATATGATATTTGTTTTTCTCTGTCTGACTTACTTTACTTAGTATGACAATCTCTAGGCCCCCATGGTGCTGCAAATCACATTATTTCATTATTTTCTATGGCTGAATGATATTCCATTGTATATAAATACAAGGGAACAGTATATATTCCATATATTTGTCTGGGTGTGTATATATATATATGTATACATATATATATACACCACATCCTCTTTATCCATTCCTCTGTCAGTGAACATTTGGGTTGTCTCCATGTCTTGGCTATTGCAAATAGTGCTGCAATGAACAATGAAGAGCATGCCTCCTTTTGAATTACAGTTTTGTCCACCTCTATGCCCCGGAGTGGGACAGTGGGTCCTGTGTGAGCCAGCGTAACTCTTGACCCACATGTCATAATGCAGAGATTATTTGCTCTGCCCTATGCTCCTCTTGCACAAGATCTTCTCTTGTTCAAGTCCTATTTCTTGAATCATCCGCTGCCTCAGGCTTGATGCGGGGCAGTCTCTGAAGGTCTAGGCTAGTACTTCAACTTACCTTTCAAAATATTCCCAGCACAGGCCACACCTTCAGTTCCCAGGTACCCAGTGACTCATGCCCCTCTCCCAGCCCACTGAGTAGGCTATCAAAGCCTCCTTTATCTCTCTGGGTGGATACAGAGTCATTAAGCTTAAACATGCCCTTTGCCAATAGATTTGAGGGTTGGGTTTAGTTATTAACTCGGGGAGCCTCCACCCAGCTAACTATTCTAGGAAATAATTGGGTGAGTCAGGTGTTTTTATATTCATATTTCATATTTCAGCAAACCAGTAATCCCAGAGTACTGTGACTGAAGGCTGGATGTCCTGGAAAGCTTGCCATCATGTCTCCATCATGACACAAACTCTGAGGATAACAGGAGAAAAGTGCATTGTCAACAGAACTATGTTTTATGGTTTTTTAAACAGCATTGCCTTATTTGTTACAAAGGGTCAATAAGTGTTTGTCCATGTCACCTTTGATGAGGCTGTGAGCTGTTCCCATAAAGCACAGTGCAGCGCCTTCACTGAGCGAGTGGGGGACGGGGAGTGAGTGTCTGTGTTTAAGTGGGACCGCAACTCGAGAAGTGCCCCCTCTGCCTGGAAGACAAACAGCCCGGGGAGCATCTGCCCTCTTTCCACTCAGAGAAAAGCCTAGCCTCCTTGGTGTGTTTTCCTTGTGGAAGCCTGTGGCATGACTGTGCAGGCAAGACGGCTCCGGGACACGCCTTCCTCCAGCCGGGCACACACCCAACTCAGAGCAGGAGCTGGACGCCAGGAGGAGGAAGACAACAGCAAGGCAGCACCTCTCCTTGGTCATCAGGGCAAACACGATCACTACTCACCTGCTTGGGACCTGAGGAGACTCGTAATGCACAGAACACCACAAACGGGACCTCACTTCTGAAATGTAAGGACATGAGGGAAGTTTAATCCTCTGTAGGAAAAACATTCTCCTGAAATCAAGTAAGTTAATTCTGTGTTCAGTACTTTGTTGTGCAGTAGGTACTGAGCTAAACACCTTACATGCTTTTGCAATGAACAAAGTTCACAATTCCAAAAAGTTGCTGTTTTTCCACCATTTTACAGAGAAAATTTGGGGCAGTAACTTGCCCAGAGTTCCACAGCTGAGCCAAAATGTAAAGCAAAGTTTTGTTTGTTTTTAAGAGCCAGAACTATCGACAAGTATATTATATTGCCTATTCAGTTCAGTTCAGTTCAGTCGCTCAGTCATGTCCAACTCTTTGTGACCCCATGAATTGCAGCACGCCAAGCCTCCCTGTCCATCACCAACTCCCGGAGCCTACTCAAACTCATGTCCATCGAGTCGGTGATGTCATCCAGCCAGCTCATCCTCTGTCGTCCCCTCCTCCTCCTGCCCCCAATCCCTCCCAGCATCAGGGTCTTTTCCAATGAGTCAACTCTTCACATGAGGTAGCCAAAGTACTGGAGTTTCAGCTTCAGCATCAGTTCTTCCAATGAACACCCAGGACTGATCTCCTTTAGGATGGACTGGTTGGATCTCCTTGCAGTCCAAGGGACTCTCAAGAGTCTTCAACACCACAGTTCAAAAGCATCAATTCTTCGGCGCTCAGCTTTCTTCACAGTCCAACTCTCATATCCACACATGACCACTGGAAAAACCATAGCCTTGACTAGATGGACATTTGTTGGCAAAGTAATGTCTCTGCTTTTTAATATGCTATCTAGGTTGGTCATAACTTCCCTTCCAAGGAGTAAGCGTCTTTTAATTTCATGGCTGCAGTCACCATCTGCAGTGATCTTGGAGTCCAAAAAAATAGTCTGACACTGTTTCCACTGTCTTGCCATCTATTTCCCATGAGGTGATGGGATCGGATGCCATGATCTTAGTTTTCTGAATGTTGAGCTTTAAGCCAACTTTTTCACTCTCCTCTTTCACTTTCATCAAGAGGCTTTTTAGTTCCTCTTCACTTTCTGCCATAAGGGTGGTGTCATCTGCATATCTGAGATTATTGATATTTCTCCCGGCAATCCTTATTCCAGCTTGTGCTTCTTCCAGCTCAGTGTTTCTCATGATGTGCTCTGCATATAAGTTAAATAAGCAGGGTGACAATATATAATTTTGACATACTCCTTTTCCTATTTGAAACCAGTCTGTTGGTCCATGGCCAGTTCTAACTGTTGCTTCTTGACCTGCATACAGGTTTCTCAAGAGGCAGGTCAGATGGTCTGGTATTCCCATCTCTTGAAGAATTTTCCACAGTTTATTGGGATCCACACAGTCAAAGGCTTTGGCATAGTCAATAAAGCAGAAATAGATGTTTTTCTGGAATTCTCTTGCTTTTTTGATGATCCAGCAGATGTTGGCAATTTGATCTCTGGTTCCTCTGCCTTTTCTAAAACCAGCTTGAACATCTGGAAGTTCATGGTTCATGTATTGCTGAAGCGTGGCTTGAGAATTTTGAGCATTACTTTACTAGTGTGTGAGATGAGTGCAATTGTGCAGTAGTTTGAGCGTTCTTTGGAGTTGGAATGAAAACTGACCTTTTCCAGTCCTGTGGCCACTGCTGAGTTTTCCAAATTTGCTGGCATATTGAGTGCAGCACTTTCACAGCATCATCTTTCAGGATTTGAAATAACTCAACTGGAATTCCATCACCTCCACTAGCTTTGTTCATAGTGATGCTTTCTAAGGCCCACTTGACTTGCCTATTAGTAACTATCTAAATAAAACTAATGTGACTAGCATGCAGCCTGCATATCTAAGGTTAAAATTACTCAGTATTTTATATAAATATATAAAATATGGGCTTCCCTGATGGCTCAGACGGTAAAGAATCCACTTGCAATGCAGGAGACACAAGTTTGATCCCTGCATCAGGACGATCCCCCGGAAAAGGAAGTGGCAGCCCACTCCAGTATTCTTGCCTGGAGAATTCCAGGGATAGAGGAGCCTAGTGGGCTATAGTCCATGGGGTCGCAAAGAGTTGGACATGAGTGAGTGACTAACACTTTCACTTTCACATATATATAATAGCATATTTTGATATAAAAATTTTATAATTAAAAAAACCACAAAATAAAACTTTCAAAGTAGATATTCTACCACAATAAGAAATAACTCCCAAAACATGGGTAAAATTCATAATACAAGCAACATCAAAATTCAGTTCAAACAAAAGCTAAGAGAATTCAGCATTACCAAAACAGCTTTGCAACATATTCTAAAGGAACTTCTCTAGATAAAAAAGAAAAAGACACACCTAGAAAGAAGAAAATTACAAAATTAAAAACTCACCGGTAAAGGAAACTTACAATAAAGGTAGGAAATCTTTCACACACATAGATAGGAGGGACATTTAAAGACATAAGTAGTAAAATCATCTGTACAAATGCATGGTTTTAGAAATGAATTTGAAATTGAGATCAGTAATTTAAAACAACCCCAGGTGACTCAGTAGTTAAGAATCTGCCTACGAATGCAGAAGACATGGGTTCAATCCCTAGGTCAGGAAAATCCCTTGGAGGAGGAAATGGCAACCTGCATCAGTATTGTTGTCTGGGAAATCCCATGGACAGAGAAGCCTGGTGGGCTACAGTCCATGGGTTGCAAAGAGTCAGACATGACTGAGCACACACGTGTGCACATACAGACAACTACACAAAAACCTCATAGCAGCCAAAATGCAAACCACTGAGAATCACAAAGGGAAAAAAATGGATTAAGATTTGACAAAAATGGATGTGAAGGCTCAGGCAATTTTATACTTCTCTCCGTATTTTTATATAAGTGTGAAATATTTTACATGGAAATACATTTATAAGAAAGCAAATCCCTCATTACCTATCTGGCGGAAATTCTGGCCCTTACTTTTACTGATGGTGCCCTGAGTAACCATGGGGGTAACATGGGATGTACTGTCCACCTCATCACTATGGGCTTTTGCCGTCTTCATATGTGACCTCTGAGGCTACCAGAGAACTGACATCTGACCAGCAGACAGGGAGAGAGAGAAAATCACACATGGGAAACTTTTGTTGTGGGCTAGGTCATGAAATGGTACCCATCACTTTCACTAACATCCTGCTGATAGAACTTAGTCACATGGTTGCTTCTACTATGGGAGGCTGGAAATGTAAAGTAACATGTACCAGGAGGAGAGAGAAATAGGATTAAATAGCGAAGCAACCTTCCCTGATCTATCCTCCTGGGCATGACATAGTCTTTCACTCTTCTTCCCTACTTACCCCTTCACAAGAAAACAGTTCAAAATCCCATTCAGTCACTGTATCCAACTCAGGATCAAGGATCTCCAAGAGAGGGTCTTTTTTCCATCAGGTAAGGATGCTGCCTAAGAATCTGAACACCTATAAATGATAAATGATCTTCCTATTTTCAGTTAGAAAATTCACTGGGAGATGCCTTGAAGGGGCATCAACTGAAAGTTGCAGATATTCAGAGTAAACTAAAAATAACAAAAAGAAATAGAAGAAGGAAAAGAAGACAGGCTAATCAGAGGCTTTGTTATTATCAGTGAAATAGAGACAGTTTTAGACAAATGACTCAAGAGACCTTGAACATATCAGCTGTGGAATGTCAAAGCTCTTTTATTTGCTTGTGGACAGAAAGGAGGAGATGGGCTAAATAACAGTATCTTCATCAAATTTGAAAATCCTCAATTTAAAATCTTATGTTCTCTGTCTACCTGTAAGAAAGGCAGATTATTCATTTGTTTACAAAGGATTCTTTAGCTGATTTCAAGCAGGACTGGTTTTTATTGCCCTGATATTGTGCTGTGTCTGTGCAGTGTGCTAAGTGCTCAGTCGTGTCCAACTCTTTGTGACCCAATGGACTGTAACCCACCAGGCCCCTTTGTCCCTGGGATTCTCCAGACAAGAATACTGGAATGGATTGCTATGCCCTCCTCCGGGGGATCTTCCTGACCTAGGGATCAAACCCTTATGACTTACTTCTCTTACATTGGCAGGTGGGTTCTTTACCACTAAGTATTAATTCCTTAAGGATTAAAAAATAGGTGAGTTCTATTTCAATTTTTTTCAGAGGCCCAGAATTTTAAAGTAAATATCATCTTAACATGCATTCTTAATGAGTTATTTCATGAAATGAAACAAAGTATGTGACAGCATAAATATAAAAGAGAACGTTCACTGAAGCCCACTCTGTGCAAGGCACAGAGTCATAGAAGGAAGAACAGGACATGGTTTCTACTTTAAAGGAATCTTTAAGTCATGTAAAACTCAAAGGAAGATTAACATCTTCCTGTTCCAGGGCACTACATATGAAGTATTACCTAGGAAACTGGAAGTTCCCTTATTTTAGGAAGAGACTAGAAAACCCTACGTCCTTGTCTTACTCTGTTTGGATTATTATAACAAAATACCATAAACTAGGTAACTTGTAAACAACATAAAATTATTTCTCATAGTTATCGAAGCTAGAAGTCCAAGATTAAGACACTATCAACTTCAGGGTCTGGTAAGGGCCCTCTTCCTGGTTCAGATGTCATCCTTTCACTCTGCCCTTGCATAGTGGAGAGGAAAAGGGTGCCTTCTTGGGCTGCTTTTATAAGGGCCTTGAGAGAGCATTATGAAAAACTGTATGCCAATAAATTTGACAACTTAACGAAATTAACAAATTTTTCTTGAAAAACACAGATTACCAAAGCTTATTGAAGAAAAGATAATACCTATAACCACCTTAAGTCTATAAAAAATTAAAAACATAAATTTGTAGTTAAAACTTTTTTCTCACCAAGAAAACCTCAGGCCCAGATGGCTTCACTGGGGAATTCTACCTAACATTTCAGGAAGAAATAAAGGTATCAATTCTACACAAAATCTTCCAGAAAATTGATGAGGAAGCAGTATTTCACAATTCATTTTATGAAGTTAGTATTACC